CCGCGCCGCCACTCGCGATGAACGCGTGCGTGCACTTCGACCGGGGACATTTTTTACGGTTCGCGATGCTTCTGGGAATGGAAAGTTTTTGCGAAATTCCCGTATTTCTTTATTTCGAAATTTCGATGTCAAAAAAGGTAAGATTGAGAAAAATTGAAATTGTTCGTGCAAGCATTATTTTACGTCACTAGGAATATTTCCTGTCTCGTTGGCATTTTGCTTTTCGTGGGGTTAGGTGGGGGGTTTACGTATGACATTTTCTTACTGTACAATTTATAGAATGCATATATGAATGACTTTTAGATTTTGTAAAACCGAAAGATTTGGGCGTATTATGAGAAGCTCTGTTTCATGAATTATTCATAGATTTATATATTATTTATACATAAGAAACATTTGCTTTACGAATTGTTTGCTACAATGTGGACAAATATTTTGTAATCTGTAAAGAGTGTAAATGCGTACGAAATTTTACATTATATTGCACTTCGACAAGGAAACTTTCTTTTATTGGTCGATATAAGTAAGAAGTTGAAGTATAAGTAAACGCATTTTATTATGATTTTTCTCATGAAATCTTAAAAACACGAGGTTTCGATACAAACCGGGTTTAATCTAATCTACTTTGCGTTATTAGACATACATTGAGTCATTATTATTTAATAAGACGATAATATAAGCGAAAAATAGCAGTTCAAGGGTAGGTAAGTAGACAATGCTACATTATACGAGGACTGTTGCGACTGTGATGAATGCAATGAATTCCATGAATGCTAATTAAAGATTGCTCGTTAAGAAGATACTCGTTAAAGATCTCCTTGCAATATTTATATAAAGAAATTTTCTATATTAAGGAAGTGCAATATTCTTCTCAAAAAATATGTCTTCTAAGAAAAATACTTGCTTCCAAAAATCTCAGCCACCGTTCTACATGCGCATCTACCAAATTAGATGGTCAGAATAAACCGGAAATTATTCAGATTCCATAAAAGTAGGCCTCGAGGAACGTTTAAAACCATAGTTCTTCCACTTAGATCGGCTACTATTCATTCTACAAAATTCTGTTCTGGGAATACTCTGAATAATTGTAAATATATGGTTGTTACTAACGATAATTCATTTCTTCACATGATTCCGTCGGAAGAGACATAATCGATAGGCTTTTATGAACACAAAATTCTCAAGGAAACGGAATAGCACGGAAATAAAAGCACGGAATATTCGTGTTCACGGTAGTTTCTAGTATTTAACGACTGGTTTCACATAGCCTAGGGAAAATGGTAAGGTCTGTAGATGTTGCCCTCAATTCGATCGTGACGAATGGGAATCTTCACGCGTTCCTCGGCATCTTTGCCGATGGAAGTTAAATTTTATTTGCCGTAATCTCCGTAAAACAAATAAAACGATTGAAACTGAAAAAGCGATAAATTTAAAAATAAAATTTATCCTTACGAAAAATATAACAAAAATGATAGACCCATTCAAATAATTGCCACGGGGTTAAATAAAACATAGACATACGAGCTCGTCATGAGTTTAAAAAACCGCCCAAATATCTTTCCTCAGATCAATTCATTAATACTGCAAACGATAATACAAGAAAATGAAAGAATTGCTGAAAGAAATACAGAAATAGGTTAGATAAATTTCCTTGTCCGAGTCAACTTACGCTACAATCAACCAATAACGAATAACAAAACTACTAAATTAATTTAACAAAATTAAGTAGAAGTAAAAGCTACCAAATAACAATACCTATTTCCCTTGTATTAGTCAAGAAGCTGATGTTTTCACTATATGATAAAAGAATTGTTTAAAAAAATACGTTTTTTCAAATGAACGCACTAATAACACTATGAATATCCGTGATTGCAGGGAAGAAACTAAAGTGTCCATACTGTGAGAAGCTGTACGGCTACGAGACGAATCTGCGAGCCCACATACGGCAGCGTCACCAGGGTATCAGGGTGCCGTGTCCGTTCTGCTCGCGGACGTTCACGCGGAACAATACCGTCAGACGGCACATCGCACGGGAGCACAAGGCCGAACTGAATCTGAAGGCCTTTCAACAAACAAACCACTCAATGTCAGACACGGTGCCGCAGTAACGGCGTCCTCGTTGTCATCGTCGTCATCGTCGTCGTCGTCTTCGTCGTTGTCATCGTGGTTGTCGCTGTCATCGTCGCGATGACATCGAAGACAGCCCTGTGGCTACTCGAGTTACCTGCGAGTGGCACGAAACGGAAATACCACGAATGCTGGAACGAGGAAGAAGCAACGAGGGTGAAGGTCTGTCCACCTTTTCCCTCGACCAACGTCGGTCAACGCCATCCCCATCCCATGTAGCATCCGAGTGGCGCTCGGGACTAAACATTTCCTCCGCGAAATCGCCACGCTGCGATTGACAGCGTTGCGCCGGAAGTCAACCGACGCTTTGACAGCGAGGTCGACAAAGGAACTGTCCCGCTGTGTCTCGTCTCGGCGATTCTAATAGTTGTCAATTACACCAGTCGTGTTTTCGGCTGAGCGATTCACCGGCCGAAAGCGTCTCGAGAGCGTCACTACGAAAGAGCAACCGCCGGAACACAGAGAATCGAGCTGAAGAATTAGATAAATTTACCGCTTATACAGATGGTTCGACTTATTCGATCGCATCAAACGATCACTGACACATACTCGAAGACTCAATGGATGCTGGACTTTCAAAAGATTCTTCGTGTTTTGGATTACCGCTACTTTGAAGATTCACGTTGCTCTAACGATTGCACGCTCTTGGCACGCTTGGTACGCTTGGTACGCTTTTGCGGATACGAATTGCGTTTCCTGGGATAAATTGTGGAGGATGGACGTGGCGTGAACTTGGATGCGACAAAGGTTGTTGACCAGATGTAGTAGAAAAAATTGTCGCACTAATCGGATCATAAAGGAGGTTAGCATTGGAAGAGAGGGAAGATGAAAGAAGGCAAAGGAAGATACAGGAAGATAGAAGAAGGTAGAAGAGTGAAGCTTGGAAAAACGTCGACGTCCGATTGCTCGCGTAGCTCGCACAAAGGTACGAGTGGGATGATTAGGGGTGGGATTGAGGGAGATGAAAGCTCGTCGCGCCTCGGATACGCTCGCGAAATAACGCTGGATAATCACAAAACTAGTCAATAAAAGTGCAACGTCGAGTAAGAGTTATTAACTATAAAAGAGAAAGCTGAAGAAAAACAGTTTTTAAAAGAGCGCGATAAAAGATAGGGAAGTTAGAGACAAGCGTAACGCCGAAAGATCGAAACCGAAGAAAAGACGCGAATAGTTGAAAGTATGTTGAAACGCAGATTCACAATGTCAAGAGAGATTAAGCGAGTAGATTACGAGGAAAGTGAAGAAAAAAAAAGACGCATATCTCAGGTGAATCGTACTACCGTAAGCCAGTAGTTCTCGATTTATTTTATTATCTTTCTCGCCCTTCTGCTTTGTGGTTTACATATACATATACATGTATTTATACAATTCTTCACCATATTTTTTCGACGACTCCTCGCGTGAACGATCAGGATCGTTTTAAGGAGTCGTACGAATACCGATTAATATATATAGTATAAATATAAATATACCGAACATATAAATGAAAACGGTGCAAGCGCTGTTACGAGAAATAGGTTTAAATGAATGAAGCGTCTACTTACTGCCGCTACTTTATTTTATTCGATAGTTACGATCATGTTACCGATGGATTATTAAGAATTATCGAACTGATTACCAAATCACAATGCATTGAAACGCTGTTATATATTGATACTTTTACCGATTCTACCGCGGAGAAATAACACTGGTACTATTATTGCTGTTGATGTCGAGAGCCTAGGGTCAAGACACGGGTGATATCCGAACATAATTCAACACTTTACAACTTAAACACTTACGCGTTAGTGCCAAACAAACTGAGAACACAAAGAAAGGAAACATAGAAATTAAATCGCATTTTCTCGATCGTACATTTTTCTACTCAGGATAGGTAATCGAATTTCTATTATTTTTTTACGCATCTCCACACACGAGACGGTAACATAGAGACGACGGACGACATACACTTCATCCGTGAAAAAAGCACACATATCCGGAAAAGAGAGATAGAGTGATGCAGATTTTTCTTGTAAAACCGACACTGACGCATACCATCTTCTCCACTTTTACGTTTTTCTTCTCTTCTTTTTATATAGATATACCGTCGTTTTATAAAGAATTTATGAGATTATTAACTACAATGATAAAGAATGGACAGGTTGTCGAGTTACCATATTATTAAATATATCATGTAGGCCACGTGTGTAGATTCTTCTTGGTGAATGCGTGCAAAGCGGAGGTTCGTATCGCGCGAGAAAATAAGCAATAATCGTTAAGATACATAGAGAAGAACTGATCTTTCCTTTTTGTAAGAGCGTTGTTTTTTTATATCTCTCTAAACGCACTGTATATATATAACCAAGGGACGCCTGTTCTTAATCGTTATTATACACGAACAGGAGTTTCCTGGTGAAAAATCAGGGCGTTCCACGTGCTACGTATTATAATACGAGATGCAAGATTTTTTAGCGAGTACGTTTATATTTACCTGATCGATGAAGAATCACGAAGCAATCGCATTCGCTTAGAAAGATCTCAAACGTGACGCGTTGTACGTCACGAAGAACAATCACTACCACTTTGTTACCTGTTTACAATGTTTAAATAGCGGACTTTTGTCCGAAGCAATAGTCGAGGATAATATATAATAGGTGATATAATTATGAAACCAATAGACCAGGACGAACAAGAAAGCATAGGGAATAATTGCTTAGATACCGGTTGTATAGAATGTGATCAATGCAATAGTTTATTATTAACGATTTAACCTATAAATAGATATATAGATACTCCTAGTCAGGATAGCACCACAATATTACTTGTTGCAGTATTTCACACGTTTATATTACAGACTTCTATCTTCTCTCTTTTTATTCTTTCTCCACTATTACAAACTCCCAGCCGTTTTTTTTCTCCTTTTTTATTATTATTATTATTATTCGTTTATCATCGTTTTCTTCATATCCGTCAGTATCTTGTCTTTTCTCTCGCTCATCTCTTTTCCTCCTATTTTTATTTGTTTGTTACGTTACAGAGGAAAATCAGAGTTTAACGAGAGTTATCTCACAACGATACGCCTATCTTCTTAAGATATCAAAGACAATAGTTAATAGGGGATTATTTAGTATTTAAATGGTCGTAAAAGATTTAGAATATATTAGTAAAAGGAAACTATTTGTTTCGTTTCCGTTTTCGTTGTCTCGTTCTTTCCCGTATTTTCTTGTTCGCGTTGCATGTGTTCTTTTTACGTTTCTACATTCTCCGCATAATTCTCTCTTTTTTTTTTTTTGTTACGTTTTTCTTATTTTCTTAAATACGATATCAAATCGCGAACCGGATCGTTCGCGTATTCTGCCAAATGACGATACGTATGACAGTACTACCTCATCGTTTTTTATAAGAATGCATACAAAACACAGGGAACACTGAGAGACCACTGATAGAATAACATCTGTACATTCCGTACAGCCGCCACTACTCGTCCGGTTAATGTCGGGATTATTCTCCTGCTGTTATACCCTGAGATACAGGGTACGAGCGTGAATCTTGAAGCTCTTCATCGAAATTCCATGCAATATTAATATTTATTTTCCAAACTTGCTGTCATTCAACACATACGAGGAATATAATGAGTTATATTTTCTGTTTTTCAACGAAACAATTTTCTGATAACTAATCTCAATATTATCGAAATTGTTGTATATTTGCTTTTACGAATTCAATATGTATCATTATATCATGATATTTGAAAAAACAGCGTTCAGTGCTGCAACATTAGTTGTACATTTGATTTCATACAAAAGGATTTATTACTTACCTTAGAAAGATTATATTCATTTACAATTATATCATCAGAGAAAACACTTTGCGAAACAGAAACTTGAAAAGACGAACTTATCACATTTTCTTCGCGCGATCGTCGCGTTGTAATCGTTCGTAGAATTTGTGGAAGATCGTTTTCGTTCTACCATTTACAGATCGTACAAACGACGTCTCCTTCGAACTTTCGAACAATTTCATTTTATAGACATTAGTTTAACGCAAGTGCCGTATTAGCAAAGGAATTTCTGATAGACGAAAAGCTTCAAGGATCGCAAGCACACGTGATATATAAGCTCTACATACGATTATATAGTAGATCCGTTTTTTTACGAAGTTGCATTATCGCATACGTACACAACTGTATATGTAATAACTTACCATTATCTAATAACTTTCCACTATATAAGCACAGTGAGACACGTGAATGTGAGTACGCGCGTGTGTGTGCGTGCGTGAGCGCGAGAGACTGCGTGACAATTTACAAATAAAGAAACGCGGCGATTTCATCGTTTGGCAAGCGAAGTCTGGTTCCTCGGACCGATCACGATTTTTCAGTCAGAGAAATACGAAAAAGAAAAAGAAAGAAGAACGGAATCAGGTGAGAAACAAAGGAAACAAACGAAAGTATTGTTTCATCATGAACAAAACGAAAAATATGTGAACTGAAAAAAGATATCGCGAGTGTGCAGTGCACAGGTTTAATTGGCGAGAGCGAAGAGGTTTTCAACAAATGGGTCTAAAATGGAGAAAATCCAAGTGAAAATATCAAATCAGCGAAAAGTGTTTCGAGTGCACGCGTGCTTGTTTCGTCGACGAATTTCGCGGATCATGTTTTCCGATCATCTCGAAGGGGTTGATAACAAAAAAAAAAAAAAAAA